TGATCCTGGTCTGGACTCTGATCCTGATCTGGAGTCTGATCCTGATCCTGGTCTAGAGTCTGATCCTGATCCTGATCTGGACTCTGATCTTGGTCTGGACTCGGATCCTGATCTTGGTCTGGACTCGGATCCTGATCCTGGTCTAGACTCTGATCCTGGTCTGGACTCTGATCTTGATCCTGATCTGGACTCTGATCTTGATTCTGGTCTGCAGTCTGATCCTGATCTTGTCTCTCTGTCCCTCAGTGGTCCACGAGATGAACGGTGAAGACGGCGTCCAGCTGCTCAGCTCCTCCGAGGTCGAAGACCTGATCCATAAAGCCGACGAGGCCTCGATGATGTCGCAGACTGTTGCCACGGTGACTTCCCTCCCGACAGCGGAGGTCCAGGAGGAGGTGGTTCCCGAGCTGCCACCACCAACGGAGATCACCGGGCTGGAAACCAAAGTGGGCGGTGAGCCGAGCATGGCCGAGGCCAGCGCCGAGAACCCCGTCACCATGGTGTTCATGGGATACCAGAGCGTGGAGGACGAGGATGAGACCAGGAAGGTTCTGGGTCTGCAGGGGACGGTGAAGGCAGAGCTCGTGCTCATCGATGACGCCAACGGGAAAACGTCACCGGGCGGAGAGAAGGAGGAGGCAGTGGTTGGCACTCAGACACCAGCTCCGCCTCCAGCTGCCTCCTCCGCCCCACCGCCCTCCACCAAACCTCCAGGGACACAGCCGGCGGCGAGCAATGGTGAGACGGCAGAGGAGGTGAAGGGAGGAGCGGTGGAGATAAAGAAGGAGAAACAGCCGTGTAAGTGCTGCAGCATCATGTGATCCTGCAGAAAGTCAAATCATACAAGAATAAAAAGGACGGAGACTTTTCAGGACACAGACTCCACCCACTGCCCTCAGCCCCGCCTCTAACAACATGACATCATTTCCTGTTTCTTCATTCTCCTGTTTTATAAAACCTCTCTTTACTTTTTCTATTTCCCTGAAACCTTTTTACTTTTGTACTCCTCCTGTCTGCTCGATGCATCTGATTAGCATTAGCATTAGCATTAGCCACGCAGTCGTCACTGTGAAATCAGACAGTTAATAATTCTAGAGTTTGTATTTATTTGATTTTGTAAGTTCCTGTTTGTTTTTAGTTTTAAAAAGAAAATAAACTGATCTGACCGACAAGTCGACCCTGAACGCACCACGCTGACTCTGGATCATTCTGTTGGTACACACACATCACTTTCATCACCTTCATCACCTTCATCAAACACATCATCTTCATCACACACATCACCTTCATCACACACATCACCTTTATCACACACATCACCTTCATCACACACATCATCTTCATCACACACATCATCTTCATCACACACATCACCTTCATCA